TCCCCCCAAAGAATCAGAACCTCAGGGGGAACCTGCACCAGAGTTGGCTGCTGCACAAGAACCAGCGCCAGAGAAGGCTGATGCTCAGGGGGAACCTGCATCAGAAGCCCAACCCTCCTCAGAACAAGACTTGCATATCTCTATCTCTCCAGTACTTCCAACTCCAGAGGATGAAGTTCAAGATGACAACCTTGCTGCTCTGAACAAACAGTTCACCAGAGTACTAGCATGGAGGAAGTGGAGATTGGGACCACTCTCTAACATTTTGCAACAGTTTGGTTTCTATTCTGCTGAAGAAAAGGAAGTGTTCAACTGGACCGGAACTGATGATGTGTCCAAGTGCACTGATATCTCCTTTCTGGAGTCTGTCTTAGCTGAGAAGAAGAGGAATTTCAAAGGCAAAGGTCGTTTGACTGCTGCTACTGCAATAGATCATGCTGCATCAGCTATTCCTCCTCTCACTAAACAAGAGGTACCTATCTTTGAAGCTTGGCTGGTAGAGAAGACAATGAAGGACTCTCTTGAACCTCAACAGCAAGCTGGAGGACCTTCTGATGCAGAGCTGATCTTTGCAAATCTGATGACTGATTGGAGGAAATCTCAGCATCAGGAACTTGAGGTAATTCCTAATTCTCCTGCTCAACTTCCATCACCTCCCAAATCCCCTTCACCCAAACCAATCACACCAACCACAACTCCACCCCCATCCCCTCAACCTCTTCCAAATTCACCAATAGCCACACCCAAGAAAACCCCATCTCTTTCACCCAAAAAGCCATCTCCTAAACTTGTCTCACCCTGCAAACAACCTACCCCCATAAAAAATCCATCACCTTCTCCTCCTCCTTCACCTCAACATCAGAGAACTCCTGCTCTGCAAGCTTCACCTCATCAGAGCTCCTCTCACCAGAACCCAAAATCTGCCTCTCCTCCGCAGAAGCCTTCATCGAAACCGGACTCTCCCCAACACTCTGCTGCCTCTACACAAAAGAGAGAACATGTTGTAAGGATTCTCTCCTCAACTGAAGACAATGGTGGATTCCTCACATCTTCATTGGCTGCTGATCTCCAATCCAATAAGAGGAAGACCCCTACTCCTCCTCCATCTCCTGCCCAACCTCAACCTCGGGTCAATGAAATGCCTCAGCCAGAACCACCAAAAGCTGTCCTCATTCCCTTCCAGGAGTTTGTGGAATCAGCTGAAGACTTTGGAGATCAGATGGTGGCTGGACTGAACAAGTTGCTTGTACTGAATCAGAAGCATGATGCTCACCTTGATTTGGTACAGTACAACATTGAGTCTGAACTTACCAAGATTTCTACTACCCTATCTACACTGGCAACTACCTTCCTGAGCTACATGAAAACATCCAATGAGAAGGTAGATAACATAGCCTCAGAGGTGGCCAGCATCCATACAGTCTTGTTCTCACAATCTGAGACTCTGACAGCCCAGGACAAGGCCATCCAAGAACTATCTGATGCTGTTGATACTCTACAATGGTCTCATGACAAGAATGCAGAGCATCTGACAGATGTGGAGGAAATCTGCAAAACAAACAAAGAGTTTGGACTCAAGCTGATCAACAGTGGAAAGGACAGAGATCACAAGCTGACTCTCCTTGAAGCTACCACTAAGGATATTCAATCAGCAGTTGATAAACAGAAAGAGCTGATAGAAGGTCTGGCCTCTGTGACTCAGACACTCCCAGGTGCCCTAGAAGCAATCAAAGAAAACAATGCTACAGAATTCTCGAAAATTGGACTCCTACTTGGTGATCTTGTTGATGCCAAAAAGGGGGAAGATATCAGAGAACCTGCTAAAGCTATCAGAGCTGCAGAAGGTACAAGCACCAGAGCTCTGACCCCTATCTCTGGTACGCCTGATCCTTCAATATATTTTGAGAGAGCCAGGCAGAAGCAGATTGCTGCTGGTATTCAGAGACCAACTCCCCCAAAATCAAAGAAAGGGAAGAAGACAGCCTCCACCTTCACTCTGGCTCAATGGCTCAACAGTGATTTAGCGAAACCTGATGCTGCTCAATTCAGAGAAATGAAGAAGCATATGACCCATATACAACAAGAAAATCTCATTTTGGATAATGATGGTCTGATAATCATTAATCATGGTGGCTCTATGCAAGAAGCAGAAGACTGGTGGCGAATGAAAGTGATCCCTGGCAAGGACTTATCAGAAGCCATCAGAAATTATCTTGATTGCAAGCTAGAACCTGCTTGGTCAGAATATCAGAATCCCAGGAATCTTGCTACAATCAGAGCCAGGATAAATGCTGATCTGAAGGAAATTGAAGCGAAGGAAGCTCAACTAGAAGAGGAAGATATCTAAACTCTATCCTCTTGTTGCTTTTAATACTCTTCCTTAATAAGATAACCAGCTTGCCTCTATTTTGCATGGCAATTTCACATATTTGCATTCTGTTTAATTTATGCTCTGATATCTTGTGTTATTTCTTACTTTGCTTATCTGATTGATTGTATCTTACTCTTACTATTTTCCTATGCCAAGTGCCCACCAAGATTCTAAATGAAAGTTTATTTTTAACTTATTTTCCTTCATGGTGAAAGGCACTTCTCTGGAAATAGTTTAAGGGTTTTGGCATCATCAAAAAGGGGGAAATTGTAAGGAATAAATGTAATTAGATTTTGATGATGCTAGGATGTTTAGATTAGAATTTTAAAGTACCCCCAAATTAGATTTCATGTATTAGTATTTTCTGATGTAAGTATTAGTATAGTCGGCAATCAGAGTTGCTCTTCTATGGATCTGATCAGAGCTGCTATGAGAACTGCTTTCAGAGTCGCTCTCGGAAATCGTGAGAGTTGCTCATCAGAGAACCATCAGTGTTGCTCTTCAGAGACTCGTCAGAAGTCTACATCAGAAAGACATCAGAGTTCGATGTATAGCTTCATCAGAACTCAACATCAGACAAGCATCAGAGTTCCCACACCAGAGCTCGACTTGAAGCCACATCAGAGCTACCCGTCAGAAAGCCATCAGAATCCAACGTATCAGAAGACTTCGATCAGAGTCCGACTAACACTTAGAAGAATTTCAAAGCTACTTCCAACGGCTGGGAAATTCATCAACGGCTAGAAAATTGTGCATGAAAGGAAAGCTCTTAAATGCACATTAAATGAGCCTGATACGCTTTGGATTTATTGCAAATGATTGACCGGGGAATCCGGGAAGGTATATTATAAAAATAGAAACCTTCCAAAACGGCGGTCAAGTCAACAGTACGTGCATTTAATGCAGTTGTCTCCTCCTCCAACGGGCAGACAACCTCAGTATATAAGCTACACGAAGAAGAACAAGGAAAACAACTTTTTGCTCTGAACCTCATACTACAAGCATTCTTGAGATTCAAACTCCACAACACAAAAACAAGAAAAAGCTTACGTTGGGAAGATTCAACCTCACAATCTCTCATCCCCAACAAGAGCAAAGTTCATCCTGTTCTTCAACACTTCAAGATCCTCATCAAACATCTTTTGTAACGAAGCAAGTTGGAGGAAAAACTTTGTGTTTTTCAAAGGATCTTCTGAAAAGAAGGGCGTCCAAATAACTGCAGTAGTGAAGTGGTGATACTTCCGGGAAGCTGAGTTAAAGGACCAGCCATCAGGACGTGGAATTGCATCCTGGGTGGCATCTAGGCTTGAAGAAGACGAGGAGTGCTTCTTAAGTGCTAGGGATTAGCTTTGTAACCGATCTACTTCAAAGCTAGTGGAACAGTGGACTAGAGGAACGCGTTGTTCCTTGAACCACTATAAAAATATCCGGTGTCATTTACTTTACTGCAATTTATATTTCTGCACTTAGGACATTAACTGATTAACTCTAAGACTTGGAATCTGTGTTCAGCAGATCTTGTTTTCAGAGCTATCAGAAAGGCATTTGCCTTAGTGTTTCTGAGGCTACCCAGACAGATCAGAATCCGCTGCCAAGGCCAGTTCTGATATCAGAACCAGCCTTTCTCTGTCACCAGAATCAGACCTTCTCTGATAAGTCAGTTTGGACTTTGAGAAAAATTTGAAAAATCAATCAGTCTATTCACCCCCCCCCCCCCTTTAGACTGATTACCATATTAAACGGGACCAACAAAATGGCACTTTGAATACTATGAAATTGTTTTAACTTTAGAATTCCTTATGTACATTCCTATAGACAAAAGTGCCAACTGAGTACATTAAGTTGTACACAATAGCATAAAGAGTACATTAAATTGTAATTGAGATTTAAATGTACATGAATTTGAGATTTTAGTGTCAATTTAGTACAAGTTTGAGTTTAATGTAAAAAAGAGTTGATGTGGCAATTAATTACAGTTTCTTTGATAAACGATGGAGTCCAAATCAGGATCAACAACCTTTATCTCCCTTGTATCTAACCCTAGAGTCATCTGAATGAAAATTTCATCCACAGAAAAGGTTATGTTCTTTGGTTCTAGATCTTCCATCTTCTTCTCCTAGGTACTTTTGTTTTGTTTCTGAGCTTACACATCTAGATAGAGTGCAATCTCATCTCCTCTGATGTTCACGTTCACGACAAAAACATATCATCAACAATTGCAAAATTCACACAATCACACCGCAGTAATTGGTCCCCTGCGAAATTCACACGCAAATCCGCAGCAAAATTTAACAATTGCAGAATTCTCATCCCCTCAAGAGTGCTTCCCCTGCGACTGCGGAGGGCTTGAGCCGCTCGACGGCTTCAGGCAATGAAAGACGTCGACACTCCACTCTCCCAGTTCACCATCGTCAGCCGAGTTGGAGAAGAATAAGTAGGGATTGGAAATTAATAATGTGTAGTAAGCAGATGCTGTGAGTTTAATTTTGTTATATCAGGAATTCTTTAGCCACATCAGACATATTAAGGTTTAAATTTAAATTTGTACTGAATTAACACAATGTTCCCAAGTTTATGTACTTCTGAATCTCAATTGTAAATTAATGTACTCTTTACTCTTCTAGATACAATTTAAGATACTCATTTGACACTTTCCTCAATTCCTATATATAAAAAGTTGATAATAGTCTAGAACTTTTCAAGCTTCCGTCGTCACAGCCAGTCTACGTCGGAAGCTGCACCGGAATCCACAAAACCCTAATCGGGAGAGAGCCCGAACAAGGACATGGGTACTGAAACCAACGCCGATGTGGATGCTGGGATTGAATGCAGCAGTGTGAAGCGGGCAAGGGATGATGGTTGTGATGCAGAGAGCGGTGACGCCTCAAAGAAGGCGAGGGTCGAGATGCCTATCGAAGAGAAAGGGCCCGAAAATGTGGAAGGAAGCGAAGATGGGGAAGGAGAGAGGAAAGCTGACGAGAGGTCGGGTCCGGTCACTTTGGGTCCGAAAAGCTTTTGCTCGTCGGCAGATATGTTTGATTACTTCTACAAGCTACTTCATTTCTGGACCCCTAATGTTGACATCAACAAGGTATGGAAGGCTCAAGCTTCAGAAGTGCTTTGTCAATTCCTATTTGCCCACACTATAAAAAACTAAACAGCTCTTCCATTCTCCTGTCTTCCAGAGGATAGTTATTGTCTTATTCTACATGAAATTTTGCAATAAAGATTCATCTTTATACTAGTATAGTCGTTCTCTTATGTTTTAAATTTGTTGCAGATGTTAATTTTTTCCGAAGTATTGTAAAAATTTAGAAGTGCTGATTATGCTATGTCTCCGGGAATCAAATTAAAAGATTAATTTTTGAATAAAGTAGTGAGTGTCTTTGTTGCAGTGTCGTTTAGAAACAACAGCTTTATATTCACAGCTTCACTGTTCTATTTCATGCTCGGAAAAAAAACAGCTAAACTTTTTTTCTTTCTACCGATTTACATAAAGGGCCTAACCTGTATATTTTAGTGACGTACAATTATGTAGAGTATTTTTTGTAGCCGTTATACTGTGACCCTTTCTGAGGAGAAAGATGGTATTGGAACACCCTGTATTTTCCAGAAGTTGCTGTTTTTTCTTCTAGTTACATCTACAATCTTTTTTTCCTGAATTTAGATAGATATCTTCTTCATATCAGTACCAGTGGATGAATTATCTCTGTCTTTTGAAATGATCCCTCTCTCTAGTGATGCAATTACTGTAATCATACTGTTTTGGTTGATAGATTTGGAGAGAAGATAAATTTAAAAAAGTTAATAAAAGAAAAAGAAGTGAGGCTATAAAACAGAACTTTATTAAAGAGTTTGTAAAACATAAGAGAATAACTGAATAAGAAAGCTAAATTAAAAGCTACTATTCACACTTCTCCAAATCCTTCAATCCTAAGTCCTAACATAGCTATATGTTCTATTTAAAAGCTTTATGTATCTTAAAAGGTTGGTGATAACTGAGAGATAGTTTCAATGAGTGATATTGAAATGTTCGACATTATTTTATTTGGTATTTTAACATTAGTTTTGTATATATGCATTTCATCTTGATTTCTAGGTTCTATTTAAACATGAAGAATGCCAGGGAAAGAAATGCAGAAAACAGAGAGGCACACGTAGGAAAAAGTCGGAAGAAAAGAAAATGCTAAGGAAAATAAAATATTGATTCCCAATCATTCAATTTATGGTTAATATTTGTTCACATGCATTATTGTTTGTTTATTTTTATTCAAGTACTCAGCAATTGAACCATATGTAAAAGAATCAAACTATCTGTCGGATTTCATTTTCATTCTCATTTTGAAGGAAATCTATATCTAAGAAACCAGCGATCCTTCAAATTTTTGTTCTTTTCCCTAGCATTTTTCATGATCCAAACATAGCCTCAGAGGCTGTAAATAATGTATGATGTTTGTCCCAATCTTGCCACTTTTCTATGTATTTACGATGTTGGTAGGGACTGTGCAGGGTTGCATCAAATGGTAATTTCAAATATATAAGTGATGTATGAAGTTTTGACTTATGGTGGTGTTAATTACAGTATGAACATATGGTGTTGCTAGAACTGCTTATGAAGGGCCACCCAGAACCCCAGAAGAAAATAGGCGAAGGAGTTTCTGCATTTCAAGTTCGAAACCACACTGTATTTAAAACCCGTTGCTTCTTCATCTTAAGGTTGGATGGTTCTGAAGAAGACTTTAGCTTCAGGAAGTGTGTTGATCATATACTTCCCTTGCCAGAGAACATGCAAGTAAAGCATAACGCCAATAAGGCCTTGGGTGGTGATGGCAAAGGTGGAAGAGGAAGAGGAAGAGGAAGAGGAAGAGGAGGAGGACGAGGAGGAGATCAGGGTCGAGGCCGTGGCACATGAAGGTCAAGAGACTAATTTTAATGCATTTACTATTTTGAATATGCATTTTGGAAGAAAAACATACACTCCTACTGACTTTTTTCAACTCGGTACTAGTATATCCAGATTTTGTACCTTTTTGAAATCTCCTGTTCTGGATTGTATCTTCTCGGGTATCTAACCTTAGCATGCAGCTTCAAACTTTATACATACAACCCTTTCCTTCCTATTTTAGACATTCATTCTTCCATATCATAAAGCTCACTTTAGATTGGTATTTCCTTATATTGTTTTGCTACCTTGAAGCGGTTGAACTTTAAAGTTATGAATTATTTTTTTAAACTTATGTTCTTGAGTATTAATTATTCCCGTAACCTATCATATACTAATGTTGGGGTGTTGCTAAGTGACGATTAGTTAACGCTTTAACATTAATTACTACTAAAAATGATCAATGAATTGGTGATTAATCATTGAAAGTTTTACAAGTAATATTGGGTTATTGGTGCATGGTCTCATGGTTAGTAATGTAAAGAGGGATTTTTTGTGTTGGTTAAAATGAAATCTTTATGTTGAGGTTAGCTTGTCTTGTCTTGACTAAGTCATCATGCCTTAACCAAACATCCACCCTGCCCGTTCCCAACTATAGTCATGCCAACTTCATGTAATCATGTCTTTCCCATGGCGAAGTATCACCACGATGTCTTTGGCTGCTACATGTCCCAAAAGTCACCCGCTTGAGCCCATGTCATGTCTCGAGCTAGAACTACCATTATAGGGGGTCTAACACAAATCAACTGTAAAAATACTTCATATGCCACAAATGCAGTCACATTAATATGTGTAATAAATTCATCATAAAAACTTGTCATGGACTGGTCATAGAAAGAGGAAAACTTGTTAGAGATCCAAGCATAGAAAATTTGAGACAAATCGTCTTTCATGAATTTAGGGGCCTGTGCCAAAAAAATCATGACATTTGGTGAAAATAATACTATCTCTATTTTCAATTTTCAATTTGGACAAAAAAAAAAGATAAATTATACTCCGTATGTTAACAAATAAAAATATCGCTCATATATATACAACACAAAACCCTAAGTTAGGGTTTACGATGTATAGGTTGTCGGCCTCAAATGATGTAGTGTTTTTCTATATGGGCCCTAGGACAGTGGCGAGATGCGGGGCCAAGGCATTGACGCACTGTAGGGGCGGTGTAGGGGTAGGGGGCGATGGGCAAGGGGTGGTAACTATGATTACACTAAGGGGGTGTTTGGATCTGATTCTCAAAACTGATTCTACTCCTTCAGGGAGCAGAAGCAGAAACTGGAGTGTTTGGGTGAAATTCCAGAAGCACTTCTGGAGCTCTAATTTACTCTCAGGATCAGTTTTTTTAGAAGTTGGGAGGTACCAGCTTCTGGAAACTGATTCTGATTCTGCTTCTGCTTTTAAAAAAGAAGCAGAAGCAGAATCAGTTCCAAACACCCCCTAAGGCATCTGTTGATCCTGAACCACCAATGAGATAGGCATGCGAGAAAGAAAAATAGGCTTGAAATTGATTAGGAAAGTTCTCCGTCTTCACATTGGTGGTTGAAGACTGCGCTTTCAAGGGCATGGTGTTCGGCGGTGTTGCTGCTAGGTTGACACATCGACATCATTACTGGGTGGAGGATATCAGTTTAACTGGAAAAAATGAGTCATTAATCGATGATCACTGGCCGATGATCACTATGGTTGGTGGTGGTCATGTGGCAAATGATGGTCAGTGTGACTAGCGATGATCATTGGTTGGCAATCATCACTGTAACCGGTGTTGGTCACTGAGTATTGGGATTTAGGAGAGCAAACTAAGTAAATGCATTTAGGGGTTTGTAGATAAGAAATTGCCCTAAATAGAGGTAAAAACGTTTTGAAAATTCCAAAATAGGAGTATCATGTTTTTTATTCCCTGAATAAGAGTAATCTGCCAAGTTTGGAAAAAATGTCATGTTTAAAGCCTTGTAATACCAAACTTGGCAGAAATTTTCTCCTATTCAAGGAATAAAAAACATGATACTCCTATTTTGGAATTTCAAAACGTTTTTACTCCTAGTTAGGGAATTCTCTCTTTGTAGATTTAATACTTGATTAGTCCCATCTTGGAAATCTCAAAAAAAGTCTTTTTTGTCTATTTCTTATTTTGTGGTAATATCTTGTCAAGTTCCCTATGTGAAAATATACTTCATGGAACCAAAGTTTTGGAACATATACCTGATATAAAACCAAAATAGTTATAATGAATACATATGTAACTTAGTAAATTTTAGTGACTATAACTATGTTTAAATGAAATTGTATATTGTCATGACTTCAAAAGTTTAGGCAGTTAAGTCACTTTTTATCTACAAGTTTTTTTTTGTAGTAATACTTTATGAAACTCTCTTAAGTTTTTCATTGGCGACGACATTACTAGAAAATAAAAATTTGCAATACTTGAATTATGTGTGAAAAAAAAGAAAAGAAAAATTTTGTGTTGAAATTTATGCAGAGAAGAGATAAATAAGAAAACTCATAAAGTATTTGGGATAAATAATATAATGAAAGTTGAGAAAATCATAAATTCAGAAGATTTATTGTCATTGTTTACAATATTTGAATTCTATAGCGAAATAAAAATTTGTACTCTAGCTTAAATGGGGTTTAATACACCAACCCCTCTTGTTAAATATAAATTCGATGCATTAGATTCATGTGATTAAAAAAACGAATCAAACTGCCTTATCTATTCATGTTCAAGGTTTCCCATATGAACAAATTTAATTGTTAAATAAATAAAAAATGATTAGTATTTTTGTATAGTTAGAAATCCTAACAAAGCTATTTGAATATTTAATTATATTATTTAAGATGAGTAATTTAAAATTATGAAATTTGTTCTTAAAATGTATTTTTTGCGCATGAATAATTATAATTAACACAAGGGGGCTTGACACATTTTTATATCACGAGCGGTTAATGCACCAAATTTATATATGTTGAGAGGATTTGGTGCATTAAACTCAGCTTAAATTTGATGTCTCAATTTTTTTTTGTTTGGTTCAGGATTGGGCAAAAATGATCTTTGATATAGACCAATTCAATGTGTTCAAGGGCGTGCACACATAGGGCTTAGGATGTAATTTTTACTTCGGACGGTTTTCAGCCCCAGATCAGACTAGACTGGATTAGACCAGACCTGACAAGACTAGACTTGGATAGTAATAAAAATACAAAGAGACCAGACATTACCAGAGCATACCAGATTGATCAGTTCAGACCGGACCAGACCAAATCACACCAGACCAAACCAGCGTTTTAAGTAAAAACATACAATTGTTGATGTACAAAAGGTTTTAATTTTTTTGAATTATTCAAAATACTCCCACAGTAAATATAAAAAACTGTCCGTGCTCAGTCATTTTGACTCCTTTCTATTATTGGAAAAAAAGTATATTCAGGTCTATTCAAAATCATAAAGAGTTAATGACTCAAATAGGACTAATAACAAAGTTAATTGCACATTTAGGACCACAAACGAAACACAACTTTCATAGGACCAATTTCAGTACCTTTGGACAAAACTACCCCTCTTTTAACTTTAAAAATTTCAAAAGTGTAAAATAAAAGATTTGTGAAATCCTAGCAGTAGCACTGTCGTTGCCAGAGCCAAACTGTTGCCTGCCACCCCACGCCGGCGCAACCTGCCACCACCTATCGCCGCCGCCGCCGCCGCCATCGCCGCCGCCGCCACCGCCATCGCCGCCGCCGCCATCGCCGCCTGCCGCCGCATCCTTGCCGGCGTTCGTCACCATCCATCACCATCGTCGCCGCCACCACCTCTCACCAGCGTTGCCGCAATCACCATCTGACCGGAGTCGTCATCCACCGCCGCCACCATTCTCTGAGTACCGTCACCACTGTGTTAACTCAGGCGGAATAAATCTGCCATTAAAGTGGCAGATTTATTGTTGGAGATTAGATTCACACCTGCCATGAACAAGGGTTTCAGATTTGCCAAAGGGTTGACAGATTCATCTTGAAATATTAATACGGAATATAAAACTGCCATAAATTTGGCAAAAATAGAAAAGCACGAAATAAATAACCAAATACTCAAACAACTAATCTTTTAATCGAATAAGCATTCTAAGACAATCGAAAATTAGAAAACGAAACTATTGATAAAAAAACAGAAAAATCAAAACAAATTTTTAGATCTGCCATAATGATGGCAGATTTATATTCACAGATTTACACAAAATTGCCATGATCTTGGCAACATATGAAGTCCACAACTAAATTTCTGAAAACCCAAAAATTTTAACAGAACAATGACTTTAACAAATTCATCTCAATCACAAATAAGAAGTGAATCACAAAAAATAAAAATAAAAAATTGATTTTCACAAAAGTGTTTTGCCATAATATGATTGTCAGATTACATTTCTGCTATAAATATGGCAAAAATCGTATACCATCATCCAAAAAACTGCCATAAACATGGCAAAATCGTATGTTTTCATCCAAAAATCTGGACAGTGGAATTTTTCAAAAAAATAATAAATCAAGAAACGTAAATTTGAAATAGAAGTACACAAATCAACAAAATCGAATGTCAAAACTAAAATAAATAGAGGAAGGAAGGAAAAATTAGAAAAAGTAATTTCAAAGCCAAAAATTCGAATAATTGGAGGAGGAAGAAGAGGAGGAGGAAGAGGAGAAAGAGGAGGGGGAAGAAGAAGAAGAGAAGAAGAAGAAACCTGGTCAAACTGCGGCGTGCTTGCGGTGGAGTCGTCGGCAACTCGGCGGCTAGGGATGAAGCTAGTTGTTGATGAAATCGATTTGAAATGCAGGCAAAAGAAACCAATCGATCTTTGAGAACTAAGAAGAGGTGCGATGGAGAGAAGCAATCGATCTGTTGACAACTAAGAAGAAGAGGTGGGGCGGAGAGAAGCAATCGATCGATCTGTTTGGTGGTGCCACAGAGAGAGAAAAGAATCGATCTGTTTATGAGGCTTGGATCTATCGGCTAACACAGCAGGGGTAATAATGGAATGAGAAATTCCTTACGTTTTCAAATAGGAGTAAAACAGTCCCATTTCAGAATAAAAACATAGATGGTCCTCTTTTGGATTTTCTCCCATCTTTTAGTCCTATATGAGGCAAATACTATAATCATAAAACTATACTCTCTTCGTCCCATAAAACTTGACCAAAATTGAATTGTACGTACAATAATAAAATAAAATAAAAACTGTGTGATTGAGATTTGTATAAAAGAGAGAAGTAATTTTACCCACATACATACTCTGGATTGATCATATAAGTGTGCTAGATTTATTGTAAACTTTTAGTGCTAATAAACTTACAAAAGTCAGTAACTTGTATAGTATTCATGATGGATTCTAGTGATGTATAACTTATTTCATTTTGATAGATGAGATACCTAGATTGTCCAATTGAATTGTTTCTTATTTTGTAAATAAGACATATTTTAGTAAAAATCAGATTTATAAATTTGGGTACTATCGAAAAACAAAAATAATGCACCAAATAACAATGTTTTAGAGAGTTTTTTGCTGCGAAATTAATAGTTATTTGCTGCGGTTCAGAACCGTAGCAAATAGTGAAAACTCGTTTTTTTGCTGCTACATATTTGCTGCGGTTCTGAACCGCAGCAATAAGTTACAACTCATTTTTTATTAATGACTATTTGCTGCGGTTCTGAACCACAGCAAATAAGTTTTCCTACTATTTGCTGTCCTGCCAATTGCTGCGTTTCAGAACCGCAGCAAATAGGTAAAAATGACCGCAGCAAATAGCTATTATTCTAGTAGTGTTTCAAGTTAAAATTTGACCAAGTTTTATGGGCTAGACAAAATATAAAAAAAATCTCAAAATGTAATCATTTAAAATACGGGGGTAACAAAAAATTGTAACTTGAAAAGTCATCCTAAAATATGGAAAGATATACTACGTACGTAGTATAAGATTTGTGAGTTTGAACAATTCATATGATTCAGACTAGATATTCTAAGGATATCGGAATAACAAATTTTTGTAAAATTAAAATTTGAATTCTACCATAAATACTTCGTATACGGAGTGTGAATTACGAAAAAGTAATAACATGAACGGATCGCAGAAAGGTAACCTCTTGTATTAGCCACTAACCGGCACAATATTTACTGAAGTAATTAATTACGATAGTATGAATTACGAAACATGCTGCAAGTGTAGTAGACTAGTAGTATACGGATATATCCTTAATTATGTAACTCATCTCTCGAGTAGAAGTGCCTTAACTACACTTAATTAATAATCAATGATAAACGTATAGTATCGGAAGGCACATCACTAACTGACGAAGCCACTAATAACACGTACAGTACATTTATATATTTATAAAATGAAAATATTCTTTCGTAAGTGTACTATTATAAGAAAATAATATTTATAATTTCGTAAAAATGAAATTGTTTGATCAAGAAAAGTCAATTTTGCAAATCAATTTGAGATGAATGAAGTATATATTATTAAACTTAGCAATACTAAAAAGTTTAGCCCCAAAAAGCAGTGGTTCAGCCCAAAAAACAATGGTTCAACCTTTTTTAACGTTTCGGTAAATGAAAATATTGTTTGATAAATAGTTGTTCGGCTCTAGTGTTTTAGAACGGAAACGATGAAATGAAAACGTTGCAAAATATCAGCATTTTGGGTTAGCGTTTTGATATAGGTCATTTCTTACCAGTTGCTACGTATGGCCAAACAACTAAATTACGTACCAACCATCTTTTAGCAACCTGCAGATTTAGGGGTGTTTGGAACTGATTCTGTTTCTGCTTCTTTTTTATAGCAGAAGCAGAATCAGAATCAGTTTTCAGAAGCGGGTACCCCCCAACTTCTAAAAAACTGATTCTGAGAGTAAATTAGAGCACCAGAAGTGCTTCTGGAATTTCACCCAAACACTCCAGCTTCTGCTTCTGTTCCCTGAAGGGGTAGAATCAGTTTTGAGAATCAGATTCAAACACCCCCTTATTCTGCTACTCAAACTCGCGGACTAAGTCCACTATTAACAACTCGCTAACATAGTGTGATACTCATATTTGTTAACCGCTAAATTCTAATAAAATAAAAAAAGGATTAGTACACAAATTAAAAAAACACATGCATGCATGGTTTAATCCGATATCATAATTGAGTAGGGCCCACTATTTCCGATGCACTAAATTCGATAATTATCGTACTTACTCAGTTACACCCATCCCCATTCCCGGCCATCTAGACACACATACATATACACGTAGTTTATGTGTAATCCCTCGATATATATATCTTAGTTTATCCGTGGAGTGTTGTATTTCAATAATTAAAAACACTACTAAAGACTGCACTTTTATCACATATACTGATTGATGAGTTCTTTGTTTGTCAGTAATGAGAAAACTGGACCTGCTGCTGCTGGCCTGCAGCAGCTTTCACCCTACCCACCACTTCAACCGCCGCCGCCGCCAATCTACAGCAGCGGATGGCCGGAAAACTGCGGCTTGGATTACTTTTATTGTGATGAGGAGCACTTCTTTATTGATTTTCCGATGGAAGGTGATGGCCATGATCATCATCAGAGCTGTTTCGATGAGTACTCTTTCCCCCCTATGGATATGCTTCTCTTCAACGACCCTATCACTTCCCCCTTTGGCATTATTAATCCTACACAAATCGGCACCGATCATGGTACGCCAACCGTCTACTTCTGTGCCGTTTACATTTTACATCTGCATGTCTTGTTACATACATGTGGGAGCCTTTACCGTATCGGGGTAATGATGATGATGAGTGATTATGATGATGACAATGATGATGATGTCTTGATGCATATATACATACACTCACATGCCTACTTGAATGCTTTTTTCTTGAACCGTGTCTAAGATTTATGGCTCCAAATGGACCCCTAATAAGTAAATAATTGTTATATCTAATTTGGACAAAATAAATTTACAACCTTCTTTTTATCCTTTTTGGCATTGTGGAGAATATGATAGGTGTACTAGACACTAGTTTAAATAGAGTATGTTTTGTTTTGTTTTGCTTTTCTAACAACTGTTTTTGTTTAATTTGTGTACAAATTGTATAGGAGGAGGTTCATTGTTCCATAGAGACTTGGAATACAAGGATCAGTTTGGAGGACAAGAGCAGAAGATGATGCTATTGAATGGTGATGAATATGGAAGCATTAGTAAAGTTGAGATCCCAAACCAGAGAAGTGTTGATGAAGAGGATATGAATATTTTCATTAATAATGATAATCAGAATACCAATAATGATAATAATGTTGATGGGAATAATAAGAAGGGAAGAAAGGGTAATAATGTGGAAAGCAAAAGCAGCAACCCCAAGAATAATATCAATAATAATAATAGTAGTTTATCAAAGATGTTAAGTAGGGAATCTCTTTCAAAGTATTTCTACATGCCAATCACAAAAGCAGCAAAGGAACTAAATGTTGGGTTAACGTTGCTGAAAAAGAGGTGCCGGGAACTTGGAATCCGGCGTTGGCCGCATAGGAAGTTGATGAGTCTCCAAACCTTAATTGCCAATGTTCAGGTTAGCGTAATTTAATTAATTCCCATGTTCACACCTCTTCCTCCATCATTAATTTCGTAATTATTACCACTACTACCTATACGCTACTTGCAAAGTTCTAATTAATTCGTTCACCCCATTATAGATATTGTCGATTATATACAATAATATGATCTAATTAATTATGTAATAATATGGAGGTTACATGCTAGGTTATGAAATGTATTTTTATGAGTCATTAGTAAATAGTACAACTTCTATGCAACACTCTCTAGTACGGAGTATTTTGTACTGTCGTTTTTTATCATATTCAATTTTTTTGTCTTGCATGTAATAGAAGTTTTAGTTTAATTTGTAACTTAACGCTTTACATTTGCCAATTTTATGCATATTGTAACACAGGGTAAAAATTAGTTCAATTTTAACTTAACCCTTTTAATTTGTCGACTATATAAAAAAAGTTTCAATATTAACCGATTTTTAACAAAATTTGTTGTTATCTACTTCTCCCGTCCCTTAAAACTTTGCCAACTTTCCTTTTTTGGATGTCCCATTAGCTTTGTCACTTTCCCTTTTAAGTAAAGAATTTGTGGTTCCAGTTAATTCTCTTTCCTCTGCACAAACATCAACCATACAATTTTTACTTTATTAATTCCCGTGCCGGTCAAACTTGGCAAAGTTTTAAGGGACGGAGGTAGTATTACACAAAAACCATTTCTTAAAACTTTATAAAATTACGCTTTTCTCTGTCGTATGACCAAAAGAGATCGAGAGGGTCATTCCAAAGATACGAGTGATTTGTGAAGTGATTAAGTTTTCAAATTGATTGGTAAATGCTTGAGTTTGTATTTTTTTCCCTTAATCTCTCCCCCCTTTTTGAAGTTCCCACTTTGTTTTGCACACATTAATAAGGAAATGACATTATTTTGCACTACTTTTGCACTGTTTTGGCATTATTTAATATTTGGTACTGGTTTGCACTATTTAAAGGACGTAATGTATATTACTATTACTAATACTTGTGTTTTAATTGAACTGAAATTTTGTTATATGAGTTGATTTGAACTGATGGGGTTTGATATGAAAGATGCTTGTTCGTATTATATATACTACCTCTGTTCTCTTTTAATTGCAACATTAGACTATTAGCTAGCACTATTCACATATTCTACTTTAACTATATTTTATTTATTATTGTATTATAAATTAAATTTTTAAAAAATATTGTTAAATTCTTCTCATTCTAAATTTTCAAAATTTGAATTTTCAAAATTTTTTGCTAATAAGGAATGAAAGATATTAATGGTCAAACTTGTGCGTTGTCAAACGTGAAATGTTGACTGTTGCAATTAAAAGAGAACGGAGAAAGTACATAAAGTATGAATCTTGCTATTAATGTGATTTGCAAAAAAAAGGCTATTATTGTTTTGTGTTGTATATTTGTGTGTGTGATTAGTACGTACTCATAATAGATTACTAAATGTTTAAAGGAGTTAGTGAAGGGCGAAGAAGATGGGAAGGTGAGAGAAGTGTTAGAGCTGTTGGAGAATCAGATGAAGGAGATTGTAGAGTGTCCTGACACTGAAATGGAGGAGAAAACCAAAAAGCTCAGGCAAGCTTGCTTCAAGGCCAATTACAAGAAGAGGAAGCTCGTCATCGGCGGCGGCGGCGACATTAATCTCCAACACCCGAAACCTTCCGCGGCGGCCTCCATGTCATCTGCCTCCGGCGTTTTTAACTTCTCCGGCGGTGCCCAAGTTGATGCTACGGCGGCGGCTGATTATTATTACGAGGAAGACCCTGAAATTAATTCTCTCTTACATTGCTTCTCTTCCTCCTCATCTTCTTCTACTCCCTGATCAAATGTATAAAGTGGGTCGTTGAATTTAATTTCGGTTTTGCTATTTGGACCTTGCTATTTATATTGGTCGTTTAGTTATGCCATATTTTTGTATTCTTCTTCACCCATCATATTTCCTATATATTGTTCTCAACCTAAACTTCCAGATGTTATAAAGCTAATAATACGTAGTATCACACTATCACATCTTAGCTTGTATTATCATTCCATCGATCATTTCTTGGTTATACAAGATGGAATTCTAAACCAACCAAATATATAGCCAGTTTACAATTACAATTCAGAGTAACAAATCAAATATTCCGTAAGTAGTTACAATAATGTATAGTAGCAAATATATAGTCACAATGTCTACAATTACAATTACAATTACGAGATCATGAAGACTTTCCATCACGTTGTTTGATTTGTTTAATTTGTGTTTGAATAATTTAATTGATATCTTTTGTAATCTGGTACCGCGACTAGAATTACAATTGCCTGTAGAATAAATTAAGAGAGATCTAGTTTATTCTAAGACACATTCACACACACTTAATCGCTCGCTAAGAGATTAGTAACGATTAAGGGGCTGTAAGTTCGCTCGTCTTGACAATAATTTAGTATCCTCTCGCATGAGAGATCAGTCTGGTCCCCTAAATAATTGTACTCTACGCCGCAAGAGCGATAAGAATTTAGTAATGATTAGTTAGGCTCAATTAAATTAATTTCATGTAATTAAGCATGATCTGTCAGAAATCTGGTTACCCCGGAATCAATCCATGTTCTCTTCGTCGTTAATTAAGAAGAAACCAAGTTATTTATTCGTTTAATCGCATTTTAATTTCCAAAAAAATCAATCTCGCACATTGCATTTTATTTTATTTTATTTATTTTAATCGCTGGATTTAATTAATTCCTAATTCCCTTTTTCCGTCCCTGTGGAGACGATACTATTACTTATACCCTATACTACTACATTATTTTAAGTGCGAGAAAACACACATCAAGATTAAAATTAAAATTAGGAACATGGAGCACATTATGTAAGGTCAAATTATTATTATTTAGATTAATATCTCCAATATGAGTAGCTTTAATAAAATTTCCAATAGGTAATTGAAGTCACTGTTGTTGTTAGAAGGAGAACTACCATTAGCATCAATAGTCATAACAACATTAGCAGAAGCAGACTTCGGTTTTTGAGTGTGCATAAACTGTTAAAGATCAGGGTCACAAAAATCCATATCATTAGAAACAGGTTCATCAGAAACATTAGCCAGGTGAGCTTGAGGAATTTTTGTTGAAGCTGGAGATGGTTTAAAATCACGAGCAAATCTAAGTCCTTTAGGCCTTTTCCAATTGTTAGGATAGTCAATGACTTGGAAGCATTTGTCAGCAGAATGTCCTTGAAATCCACAGTGAGTAGAAGTGACAATATTTTTCTTTTTGGAAGAGTGAAATTTTGCTAGAAACACTGCAGAGTCATGAGCAGGGTTAGTAGAGTTTGAGGTTTGGTAATGTCACGCCCCGGACCTGTCGGACACGTCAACAACCCGCCGTACAATACGAATAGTCAGCCGCAGTCCAGGGCCGTCTAGAGCAATTGTGAGGCCCTAGACAATCATATAGACTTTGTGTTTCTTAATACCTATAGATCCATAGAGCTAACAAACGATTTTATAATCAGTCATTTGTTACTTTGTTCTTCTCTTTGTACACATGTACTCCAAGTCATGTTTTCGTTTTCCCATCACCAAAAACCTACAGTTTCGTTCAAAATAATACTACCCCCATCCTACTAATATTGAGACGAGAGAAAGACATATGGTTATTAAAAAAGTGCTTTGATATGATTGATATTAAACAGATAAATTAAGAATAAAATAAAAATGACTTAAAATCACACGAATTTTATCAAATTTGATATGAAAAATATTAGTAGGACGGACCGGAAAAGAAAGATTAGACAATCTTAGTGGGACGGATGAAATTATAAATAAGTAAATGCTTCATAAATAAAAATTTCTACTCTCATAAATAAGATATTAAGATTATAAATATTCAATATTTTTATCAAACTCACATACTCCGTATATCATAATTCAACTACATAAAATTTTTGCACGAGTAATTGTGTTGTTTGAGTAAGTCTAAAGTAGTATAAATCAATGCTTTATACTTATAGTGTAGTTTTTTTTAAATGTATAATGTAGTTGTTTTAATACATTCACAAAGGATTATTATAATAAATTTATAATTTTACACGCCTAAATTAGTAAATAAGTTGTTTGAGTAAATCATGAATCAGATCGATACTTTATACTTGTATAAGTTGTATTGCACTAATTACTCTAATTACATTGCATACTTGTATACCTAGACGGCTAGACCCTCCTCCCTAGTCACTAACCATTTAATAAAAGAACTAAACAAGTAAAGATGTACAGGCTAACAAAAGTAATCCACTAATTAATGAATTGCCATTTGTGGAATGATTAATTAGTGGAAAATATGTGATCTAAACTAAATACACATATACAACGTACGAAGTATATTAGTAATAGCCTAATTCTAAAAATTGGAGGCCCTTAAAAATTGGGGGCCCTAGACACTTGTCTAGGCAAAATGCCCCCATGGCCGGCCCTGCCGCAGTCCAACTCATCCATAATGCACAAGGCATATTGTATACTATTCACACATAGTACATCCATAAACAAACATAATGTAACATATTCATTTAAAACAACGGAAGTAATATAACAAGTGTTCAAGCCACATTTGGCAAACATGGGCGTACAAGCCCCAAGTTAATAATTATTCAGAAAATATTATCCATGAACACAAATTTATTAAATGTTTTGAAAACAGAAGCGGAGGAAGCACGAACCACGTCTTCCTTCCTTGATCCTCCCGGAGTAACGACACTGGTAGCAAGCTCAACTCCTACCTGAAACTGTGAGGTGGCCTCCCGCGTGAAGGGGGTGTCAGTACTTGGAATCATTTGACAAGTACAATGACAACTATACTAAGTATAATCAACGTTTCAATTTCTAAGACCCTCAAACTTGGGTGTCAATATATTATAGTTAACCTCGTTCATTTAATGTCAATTCATCATTATTAACTACGGTCTAGAGCCCAGCTCACAATCACCGTTATCTACTACGGTCTAGAGCTCAGCTCATAATCACCGTTATCTACTACGGTCTAGAGCCCATCTCATAATCACCGTTATCTACTACGGTCTAGAGCCCAGCTCATAATCACCGTTATCTACATTGGTCTAGAGCCCAGCTCAATAATCACCGTTATCTACATCGGTCTAGAGCTCAACTCAATAATCACCGTTATCTACATCGGTCTAGAGCCCAGCTCAATAATCACCGATTCTTTACAATTCAATTTCTTAGGATCCATTCATCCATTATTCAACTAACATTTCCAACTAATATTTCAATACTACTTATTTACTCATTTCAATATAATTCTCCATTCATGTGTAATTTGGCCTTAATATCAAAATATCACTTTTATACTTTCAAGGTTTCTTCTCATGAAATAAAAGTATATTTATCACAAATGAGATTCATGGTTAATACGACTATCATACCATCATATTCATAACATATAAACATACACAATTTATTCATAAATTTGTATATTATGCAAACTATACTTATAATCAATATTAATTTCATTTGGGCATTATTAACCATTAATAATCCATGCAAATCACATCTGTATTCATTTAAGAAATCTCATGAAATTAACCCAAAGATTATAAGCAATATAGTCGGTCATCCTCACCTTAAGTGAGCCCTTAGCGCGTTCTACGCCTCCCGATTGAACCTTAGCAAATTCCGGCGAACTTTGACCAATTCCGGCAAAACTCCGGCGGAGCTCTAAAAATACTTTAATCAAGTTCCTAACAAGGTTTAACATCATAAAACCTTAATTAATACAAATAACATCTAAAAGGTTATTTTCCGGTGAACCGGCCGTTTTGGCTTCTAAATCCGTTGTTGGACTTAGAACCACTTTCCAACCCATTATTCCACACTCTCATCATGTAGAACAATCATATGATATATATCTCATATGATGGAAGGAAAAATAAAGAAAAAGTTATGATAAGATTGTTACCTTAATTTTCACACTTTTAGCACCTTAATTCCTTTTCTTGAGATCCTTCTTTGTTGAGCTCTCTTCAACAATGGAGAAAGGAGGATGGAGAACTCTTTGCTCTTGCTTGGTGTGTGCTGGCCGCAGGAAATGAAGGAGAGAGTGGGTGAGGTTTGTTTTTGTCTCTTTGATCAAATGAGTGTGGATGGGAGGTCCACCTCATGTACTTGATGCTCATCACTTCAACTCCAACACTCCCCTCCTTCCTCCTTCTAATCCAGCCGCCCCACCTCCACATTCTTGTGTCAAAATTCGTGGGTTGGCCCCCACTTATGTGGGAGGTCAGCCCTTTTTGTCCAGGAATGTACGATCGGTCCCGAAAGTTGTATTTTTCGGACTGTTTTAAATATATTTTGTTTTATCGGGTAAAATAAAATATATTACGCGTTCTCAGTCATTATGACCCCTATAATGAATATACATTCCCCAACTTAAATTTATAAATCTCCGAAATCAAATTTCGGACTTTTATCTGGTAAATTACCAATACTGGCCGGTATTTGGGCCTCTCTTGACCAATCGGTCAACTCTGGGCTTTTCCATGGCCCAAATCAAGAATCCACCACCATGTAAATATTATCTAGACCAAGATGAATAAAATATATGGTTTCGGGGTTATCGAGTGGTCCCCGCTCCCGGTGTGGGTCCCACATGCAAATTTACTATTCACGTGAAAGAATTAATAAAAATTCACAACTTCGTAAATTCATTAACCATTTCATAAGATTCAATACATTATTTACTTAAAAGTAAATATATTTGGGGACGGTGTTAGAGGTCATTATAAAGAGGGATAGATCCAAGAGGATTTTGAAGAGTTCTTTGAGATT